AGCTCCAAGTTGAGCTGTTGTTCAGCATCTTAGCTGTAGAGGGCAGTGTCACTGGCCCTCATATGTGGGATCTGAACCGGGGCCCTCTGGTGTCCCAAGCCAGCTCTTAACCAACGCGCCACTCGGCCGGCCCTACTTTTGTCTTTTAAACTTGCTGCCTGCTTTATAAGTGATTAACCCACTGCCTTTACTACATATTTAGCTTACCAGTGAGATTTATTCTTTTGTATCTGTTCTTGTTACTAATTAGCACCCTTTTCAGCTTAAAGAAGTCCCTTTGACATTTTTAGTAAGTTGGGTTTAATGGTGATAAATACCATTAGCTTTTGCTTGTCTGGAAAACCCTTTATCTCCCTTTTATTTATGACTAACTTTGCCAGTTAGAGTATTTTTGGTTGGATTTTTTTTTTCCTTTTAGCACTTTGAATATATCATGCCACTCGCTTCTGGCCTGCAGTTTCTGCTAAAAAATCTGATAGTCTTATGGGGTTTCCTCATACTTAACAAGTTTTTCTCATGCTACTTTTAATACTCTCTCCTTATATTTAACTTGTGACTTTTTAATTTTAATTTGTTTTGTTGTGGGTCTCTTTGTGTTCCTCTTTTTTGGACCTCTCTGGGCTTCCTGAATCTAAATATAGGTTTTCTTCACCAGGTTAGGGAAGTTTTCAGCCTGTATGTCTCCAAATAAGAGTTTTGCACGTTTCTCTCTCCCTTGTCCTTCTGGGAGCCCTATGATGCAAACATTAAGTTGGTGTGATATTGTCCCATAAGTTCCTTAAGATATCATCACTTTTTTCCATTATTTTTCTTGTTTGCTGTTCTCAGGAGGTGAGTTCCACTACCTTCTCTTTGAGTTGACTGATCGTTTTTTCTTCATCCAGTCTATTGTGGAACCCCTCTGCTGTATTTATTTTTCCATCTCTGTTGAAGTTCTCACTGTGTTCATTCATTCTACGCCCCAGTTCACTGAGCATCTTTATGACCATTACTTTTCTCATTCTCGCCCGCCCCCCCCCTAGTTTTATCTTGTTTTCTTATTTGGAAAATATTTCTTTGTTTCTTCATTTTGTTTGACTCACTGTGTTGGTTTCTATGCATTAGATGAAATTATAACCTCTCTCAGTCTTGAAAAAGTGGCCTCGTGTAGATGAACCTCATTCAACCCTGCCCCAGGTCTTGGTTGTCTCAGCCTTTGTGCTTGTCCAAGCAGCCTGTTATATTTTTAAAAGCTCTTAGCAGTTGAGAATGTGCCAAGACTGTTACTGTCTCAAAAAGGAGGATCTCAGCACCCGAATTCAGGCTTACTAGAAGCCAGACACTCAGGCATCAACTTGTAAAAGTATGCAAATATATGCAGACCTGTAGGATCACAAGCACATATCCCACTGACCACAAGAGCCAGGCGATCTGCAGGTGTCTCTTGGGCGGCTGTCTCAAAAATCAGGACTCCAGACAAAGGAAGGTATAAGCTCTTTTTTGGGGGATACCAGCAAGCTGGAGTACGGCAAAGGGAGAACACCACGTTGGTATCCACAGCCTACATTTCTGAGAGCAGCTCCAAATACCCCCAGATGTATGCCAAGCCTGCCCCCTGCTCCTCAGGCTGAAGCTCCAGGACAAGCAAAGAGGCATTCTTTACAGAAAGACGGGGGTGGGGCATGCCTTAGTTCACGCTCCATGTAGTGCCATAGGGGTTGTGGCCTCCCAAGAACCGTCTCTGATTGCCACAGTCCTATGGGACCCCAGAATGCAAGACCCCTCAGCCACCAGAACCAGGCAATCAAGGGGTGTACCCTGGGTGACAACTGCAAAACACAGTGCACCAGACATGTGTAAAGTCCCCTCCAAAAGACACTGGCAGAGGGTGAGCTCGAAGATAGCACCAGCCCTCTGAGGTCTCGGAAAAGGATTAGTCAGTCTCTAGATGAGTGTTTAATTAGAAGCCTGTCCCTCAGGCTACGGTCACAATATTATCTAATGGGCCTCCTTCAATGGAAGACCCAGCTCCTGGGTCTGTTGCCTCTTGCTGTGCTGTTTAAGAACTCTTTCTCCGTTTGTTACAGTCCTATGGGACCCACGAATATATGTACCACTAGCCACTAGACTCTAGAGCAGCAGTTCTCAACCTTCCTAATGCCACAACCCCTTAATATAGTTCCTCATGTTGTGGTGACCCCCAACCATAAAATTATTTTCGCTGCTACTCTATAACTGTAATTTTGCTACTGTTATGAATCGTAATGTAAATATCTTTTTGTTTTCCGATGGTCTTAGGCGACCCCTGTGAAAGGGTCGTTCGACCCCCAAAGAGGTCGCAACCCACTGGTTGAGAACCGCTGCTCTAGAGGTTGTCCCCTAATAGCAATTGCAAAAATCAGGGTGCTAGACAGGACTTGAGCTTTTCTCTCGGTGACACCGATAATGACAGTCCTGTGGGACCAGGGACACAAGCTCTTCTGGCCTTCAGAACCAAGCGATCAAGAGGTACCCCCTAGGTGGCAGCTGCAGAAATTGGGGCACTAGAAATGTTTACATAAAAGTTCCCTTTTGAGAGATACTGGTGCTCTAGAACACAGCAAAGAGAGCACGAAAATGGTGCCCCCCAGTCTCCGTCCCCCCAGAGTGTTTCAGCAGGCTGGTAGATGTGTGTGTCAAATTGGATGTCTCAGGCCATCACTTTAATATAAGCAGGTGAATCTCCTTCACTTTAAGTCTGGTCACGATCGGCTGCCTCTGAGCTGGGCCCCGGGTCAGGCCCTTTAAGAACAGCTTCTCAGATCGCTACAGTTAGATGTTTTGGGGGCTCATCTCTCAAGTGTATGTCTTATAAGTTGGGGTGCCCAATGTAGGGTTCCATCCCTTCACTCTGCAAAGAGAAGCTCTGGGATTTGGGTTCCCTCCCGGTTGTGGGTCGCCGTGCTGAGGGTGGGGTTTATGGCGAGATTGTGTCGCAGCCTCCTACTGGCTTCCCTGTAGTTTTCTTATTTGCCCAATGTGCAGGTGTCACTCAGCCAGCCTTTAAGTTTTTTAAAGAGGAAGTTGTTCCATATCTAGCTGTAGACTCAGTGTCCACAGGAGGAAGTGCGTTCAGGTTCTTTCCATGTCACCATCTTGAACCCTCTTCTATTTTTTTATGCCTTTTTTTCTGTCCCTCATGCTCCACCCACTGATGCCCCCCTCTGCACGTGAGAGCAGCTTGTGGAGACAGGTGGGGGGGAGCGCCAGCTGCAGGAATTTCGGGCAAATCCGGCCTAGTAAGTCATTATTCTGCTGAACCGTCATACAGAGTCAGTGACTCAACCCAGAGAGGTCAGCTTTATGGTCACCTCACTTTGGGGTTTCATATGGGACAGTCTTCAAACTTGGTTTGTGTGACAGTTTTGGGTTTAGGGCTGATTCACTGCTCTTGAGTAAAAGGATTCTTCCTCTGCCCTCCAAACACTAGGGAAAGATCGAATCATATTTGTGACCAAAGAAGACCATGAAACTCCAAGCAATGCAGAGCTGGTGGCTGACGACCCCAATGATCCATATGAAGAGCATGGTGAGTGACGCGGGGCCTCCTAGGGACCCACAGATGCGGGGAAGTTCAGTGTTCAAAATTCCTTCCCCATTTTGTCCTAGCCAAGGCTGGGTTTTCAGGTATGCATCTCAGCCATGGGCCATCTCTCAGGACATCCCTCAGAGGTGTAGGGGGCTGTTTGGGGGCCCTCGTTGATGCGCTTCCCTGGCCTTTAGGCTAGAACTAAGAATGTCTCCCGACTGGCGTCTTCGGCCTCCTTTTCTTCTAAGCTTTTGCACTGGCTTAAAGCTGCTGGTTGAATGCTTCCCAGTGGTGAAATTTGGGGTCAGGGTTCAGTGGATTCCAAAAGTTCTGAGTAGGTTAAGGTGACAGGGTTCCTCCTGCTCAGTCAAGTTGCCAGACTAAATTCTGCCACATCTGCAGACTATTAGCAAGCAGGTCTGCAAGAGTCACACACCTTGTGTGAGGGGGTGGAATCACTGCTCCCTTCTTGTAGCTACTCCAGCAGGCACCTTGCAGGATAAGCTCGCTTGAGATAGAGGGACAGTTTTCTAGCAGCGGGATCCAGCTAACGTAGGCAGGACTGCTGCACACGACTCAGGTGATGGTCACTTGGGCCTAGGCCATCACTGCAAAGGCTCTGGACTGTTGGACTCACTAAAACTTCCCAGCCTGTCGAAGGAGGGTATGCATGTGCAATGTTTATAAATAGTCCATGTATCATAGACAGTGCTCAGTTCACCAATCGCCATTGCTGACATCCATGATGATAACTAACAAACCTAGTGCTGATTCGTGATATAGTCAAAAGAGCTTGTAGGAGCCACCTGTAGAGTATGGGCTCCTGGTTGGAATTTTTCAAATGCTAACTAAAGTTTATATTCTCAGGTAGGACACTTCACTTGCTACCTTTCCTGCTCCTAGAGATTAGAGGAACGCTAAATATGCATATCTAGCACCCTTTTGGGAATAGTGGGAAGTGCCAACGTTACACAAAGCGTTAGCTTCCTGAGAATGACAGCTACAGAAGTGATCTTGAATCAGCACTCTTATAAAGAAAAATAAATCACATGTAAATTCTCATACTTTGCCCATCTTGAAGTCCGTATTAGTTAAGTACATTTCGTTAATTGATTGACACCCTGGGGCCTGTAGGACAAAGGAGGCCTTGTTTTGTCTGCCTCATAGTATTTTTATAAAAGCCGAATGTGCCTGCCTTGAGACTGCATATCCCCTCCAGTTCCTGCCAGTCTTTATGATCTCTCTTGTTTTTTCTCCTACCTTCTGTCGTTTACAGTATACCTGCTTGGAAACCCTGTAGGTATTTGCCTTTGCAACCCCTTCTAGTGAATAATTGTGTGAAAAAGCATATGAAACAGAGAACTCTGGGACTCAGGTTCTGAGCTCTCAATTGCAAAATTACTACTTTTCAAACATGCTCCATCTGGGTTTAATTTAACTTGCCAAAGCTACCGTCTGTGTGGTTTTACATTGTGTCCCTGAAATGCAAATTGGCACCATAGTTTTCTCTGTGAAGAACTACCTCATTCTAGCTCATCTTCCCCTGAGAAATAATGAAGCAGTGACTCCTGCACACCTGAACTATTATATTTCAATGTTAGTATTATAATCTTGTATTTCCTTTGGAAACTGGTTGTGCAGGTGTGTTAGCAGTTTTGAGCCTCCAGGGAGTTGGCATTGGTATATGCTTTCAGCACTGAGGTGGGCCCAGGGGAGTTGGGAGAGGTGGTGAGATGAGGGGGCAGAGAGCATGGGCTCTGGCAATCCTAAGGACCCTGGTGGTAGTCCTGACTTGGACCCCACTGAACCCCAGAAACCTCACGTGTAAATGGGTTAGTAGTACCCACTGCAGAAGGTAGCTGAAAGGATTATGTGATTTACTACATGCAGCTTAATACATGAGAACCTGCACTGAAGCTATTGGTACTAGTGGTGAGCTTCCTGCCAGTTTCCATTGCCATCTCCACTGTTAACCTGTTTTACTAGTAAGGAACTGCAACGGCAGATTTGATGATCACTGAAGCTTTCTAAGCTAGAATTCAGAGATGAGGTTCAGCCGAAGCCTAGGGCTTTGGACACTAGCTCAGAGCATCAGACCTGGGTACTTCCATGGAATGAAAAGTAAGGTGCAATTTCATTGGACACTTAAGAGTCTTTCTTAAAGGGTGTTCTCAGTCTCTATATAGTCAACTCATGTAAGAGACTTCTGTATGAATGATATTTCTGTCAGTGTCTGTCACAAAGCTGAATATGAGCCATCGTCTTGAAAGCATTTTAGAAAACCAGGAAATACTATTTAGATGAGGACAAGTTTCAAAGATAAGAAAAAGTTGTAAAATGCAAAAGTTAAGGGCCTATATAATATTGAAAATGAAAATCATCTGAAAACCCAACCACCCCCCTAACACATCTGTACAATGTAGCAGTTTGACTCCTATAGTTAGTATCCTTCTAAGCTTTGCATTTTTACAAGAATGAAACCAGACCACTCTGCTATACCACTAGCCTTTTCCTTGTACAACATGTCTTAGACATCTTTCCAGTCAGCGCAGAAGGCTCAACCTCCTCCTTTTTACCTGTTCTCACACTATTGAGCTTCTCAGAGTGGCTACAAAGTGAAAGGGGGTGGGGGCGGGGAGGCGGGGAGCAGATATTGGAAGGTGGAGATGAATACCTCAGCTCCTTAAATTGTTTGGGCTTTTAAAAGGTTCTCATTGACCATCCAAGCGATAGCTTCTGCTTTGGACTAAATGGATTCCAGTATGTAGTTCTTGGAGTACAGCCCCAGCCATAGCCCTGGAAGGTGGCTTAGCACATAGATCAGTGTCACATGTGGAGAAAGTTGCCGATGGTGGTTTCTCTTCAGCTGAGCCAGGAATGCTGGCTCTGCACCTAGCATTCTAACCTGATCTAAGAGGTACGTCCTCAGGTGAGTGCCTGCCAGGCAACAGTTCCTCCTGCTCTCCACCTCTTTGAGTGGCTTGTGGGGACTGGATTTGGTTTTGCGTTTTCTGACATCTAGAGGACAGCCTCTCACATTTTCCTTGCCCATCTTCCTGTTCCAGGACTGATCTTGCCAGATGGAGACATTAACTGGAACTGCCCTTGCCTTGGGGGAATGGCCAGTGGTCCCTGTGGGGAACAGTTCAAGTCAGCCTTTTCCTGCTTTCACTATAGCACAGAGGATGTCAAGGGGTCAGACTGTGTAGACCAGTTTCGGGCCATGCAGGAATGCATGTAGAAGTACCCGGATCTCTATCCTCAGGATGAGGAGGAGGAGGAAGAGGAAAAGGAGGAGAAGAAGCCTGCAGAACGCGCAGAGGAGACAGCTCCCACTGAGGCCACCACAACCAAAGAAAAGGAGGGGTCCAGCTAATGAAGGCCTCGTGGCACTGGGCTCCAGGCCTTCCACCTCAGAGTGATATGAACCTTTTGCAAAATGCCTTTCCGTCACTCTAAAAAAGTGTCTTTCCCTCTTGTTCTGTGCACTGTAATGTACAAAATAACTTATTTTGATGATCAGGGGTCTTGGCCGGCCCCTTGACATATACACTGAAAAAAATGAGGTTGTATGTGTGTGTGTCTCAACATGAATCTCAGTGAATGTAACTGCCGCTTTTGAATTCTCTTCTCAGATCACCCTGAATTTTGCTACCTTGAAATACTGTGCTGAATGTTCTCAGCAACCAAAAATCAGTATCTAGGAGTGAGTGAGCTGATTTACCCCAATTCGTTTTGGTAGATTTTATATCCATTTTGGAAAGTGAAATAGAAACAAAAACCTCTTCCTTTGAAAATGCTGGAGGGGGCCCATTCCTAATACAAGAGGCCAGCTGATCAGATACCTGTTTCTCAAAAACCATCTTGACCTTGAATATATGAGGAGACACTATACTTCATTTCTGATACATTTTGATTTCTATTTTTACATTGAGCTCCAGGTTTTCTTTTGGGGAAGTGGAGCTTTAGACCCTCTGACTCACAATCCCTTTCTAAGTGAAGAGAAAGGCTGGGTTTTGCTGTTCCTATTATTCCGAAAGCCCTAGTTTTGGGGCCTGTATTTACACTGGCTCTGTCTCACACTGTTCAGATGCAACGTTCTTGAGAGGTGGGGACCGAATTGTTACCAAAGTAGCAGCCAAGGGAGGAAACGTTGTGAATTAAGTGGTCAATTAAATGGAAAACATGGTTTTTACCTGATTTTGAATGTGTCCTTTCTTTTTACTAATTAAACATGTTTTTGATGTAAGGAAATATAAATTATGAAAAGTTCAATTGAAATTCCTCTTTGAAGATACTGCTAAACTACCAATATGAGTCTGTTAAAATTTTCTACCACTGAGTTCATATCAAGCTGTTTTTGTCTGTGAGCAGACACCTTCAGATAGGCGTCTCAATTAATCTGTGAGGTGGGGAAGGTTGTTCCCATTTGAAGATAAGGACTGAAGCCTTTGCAGGCTTAGTAACTTGTCCAAGGTAACTGCTAAACAGAGTTCAGGCAGTGATATAGTGATGCCTCATTTGTCCCAGGTTATCTATTGCTGTGTAAAAAATTACCTTAAAACATAGCAGCTTAAAACAAACATCTCCCAATTTCTGTTGGTCAGGACTCTGGCTCAGTCTCTCATACTGTGATCAGGTGTTGGCCAGGGTTGTAGTCGTCTCAAAGCTTGACAGGCTTTCCAACATCAGTCGGGTGGTTTGGAGCAGGATTCGGTTCCTTGCGAATCTTGGATTGAGGGACTCCGTTCCTCATCGGCTGTTGATCAAGAGTCCTCCCTCGGTTTCTTGTCACACGGGCCTCTCCTTAGGTCAGCTCACAACAAGGCAGATGGCTTCCATCAGAGCAAACGAGAGAGCAAGATGGAAGCCAGAGCCTTTTTGTAAATTAATCTTAAGTGACATTCTCTCATTTTTCCATAGTCTAGTTGTTAGCAGTGAGTCACAGCCCCCACTCAAGAGGAAGGACACAAGTGCGTGCGAACCAGGAGGCTGCCTACCCCACCAGAGAACAAGGCAGCAGCACATTAAAGCTTGAAAGCAAAGTCAGATGTGAGGAGTTACAGGTCTGAGGTGTTAGGGAGGTAGACAGCTGTGGTATCTACAATATAACTAGAACGTTTTTAAAACTTATGAGCCAAGGACCTGGAGCTGCCCAAGTTTGGGAGCTAAAACAGCCCTGCGAAGGGCCCTCCTGACTTCTTTTAGCCTCATATAGAGCTTTGCACATTTAACAAACATACTTCTTTTCACTGAAAATTTTGATCACCGCCAAAATGTTACTGATTTGTGAATATGTCGTGGACCCCATTCATTTGATGTATTCAGGAAACCTCTACAGGTCCAAGTCCTAGGAACACAGGAAAAGGAGCCATGTACGTTGCTTCCTGCCTGAAGTCAGCATTTATTAGAACGTAGGATGGATGGGAATTGCATGATGGCACTGGATTTTCGAGGTAGATTATTTTCTTCTAGCCATGGTAACTCTTACAACAAGTCCATTTGGTTAGACAGGAGATTCCATCTTTTTCTACTTTTCAGTGGAAAACCAATTTGGTGATAAGAAAGTGCCACTGCATAAGCAATGGAGAGTAGCAGAGGTTATGCTAAAGCATAATCAGGTTTGAATAATTCCTTTTTTAATTGAGGTATAATAGAATACAACATTATATTCATTTCAGTTGTACAACATAATGATTAGATCATTGCGAAATGATCACCACAATAAGTCTAGTTAACTTCCGTCACCATACATAGTTACAGAATTTTTTTTCTTGTGATGAGAACTTTTAAGATCTTCTCTCAGTAACTTTCAATACAGTATTGTTAACTATAGTCACTATGCTGTACATTACATCCAAAATATTCTGGGCCCACAGCAGATCTTGAAAGTTATGTGAAACTATTTAAAAATGTATGACTTTTCTTTGGTTCTTCCAGGTGAAAGAGGAACCTTTCACATAAGGTCTACTTTCTAGTAGTTTGAGACATTATGGTGTACTAAAATATGTTATAAAGTTAAAATCTGTACAGTCATAGAATTTACCATATGGACTAAAATTCAACATTCTAAGAAGGCTGCAACACAAAATAAAGACAAGACAGAAATCACTGTGTAGATATTTGGTATGTCCAAATCAGTGTGATCTTGTGTTGCTCTGTTTTCATTGCTGCGGTTCTTTGAAAATTATCACCTCCACATTTATCTTTACCTTTTTAGCCTGTTGAGGTGTTTTGCTTACAAAGATACATGGCAGTTTAAAAATCAACTATCCAAAAGAAAATGCGGGGTGTGTGTGTGTGTGTGCGTGTGTGTGTGTATTGGGGTGCCAAAAGTACACACATGACTTACATTCATCTTTTGTTATCGATATATATTGAGTATTACAATTTTAATAGTTTTTTCCTTTCTTAAAATATGTATACATTTTTGGGGCACCCTCTGTGTGTGTATGAATATATGAACGATGGAATACTATACAGCCATAAAAAAGAACGAAATCTTGCCATTTGCCACAACATGGATGGACCTTCAGGGCATAAGTGAAATAAGACAAAGACGAATATCATGTGATCTCACTTATATGTGGAATCTAAAAATCAAACAAACAAAAAACCCCAAAACCAAGCTGATAGACACAGAGAACAGATTGGTAATTGCCAGAGGAGGGGATGGAAGTTCTTGAATAGATACTTTTTCAAAGAAGATATGCAAAATGGCCAACATGAAAAGGTATTCAACATCATTGGTCATTAAGGAAACGCAAATCAAACCCACAGTGAAATACCACCTCACACCCAAGTAGCATAGCTATAATTAAAAAAAAAATAAAAGGCATGTATTGATAAGGATATGGAAAATTTTTTGGAGGTTCCTCAAAAAATTAAACATGCAATTGGCATATTACCCCACAATTTCACTCTTAGGTATATACCAGAAAAATTGAAAATAGGTAGTTACTTATTCACAAATGTTCATAGCTACACTCTTCACAGTGGCCAAAGGTGGAAACAATTTAAATGTCCATCAACAGATAAATGGATAAACTGTGGAATACACATGCAATAGAATATTATTCAGCCATGAAAAAGAATGAAGTACTTATACATGCTGCAACATGAACAAACTTCAAAAACATGCTACATGAAAGAGGCCAGACAAAAAAGGTCATATATTGTGTGATTCCTTTTATGTGAAATGTCTAGAGTAGGCAAATCCAAAGAGGTAGAAAGCAGATTAGTAATTTTGCTAGGGGATAGAGAGAGATGGGGAACTGAAAGTGATTACTTAATGGTTATGGGATGCTTTGCAGTGATGGAAAAGCTTTGAAACTAGAGAGAGATGGTAGTTTCACAACATTGTCAATGCGCTAATTATCACTAAGTTGTACATTTGAAGACAATTGTGTGTTATGTGAATTTTGCCTCAAAAGAAAAAATAAACAATTACAAGGAGAAAGGAATCAAGTACAAATGGTGGAAGTACAAAATGGTACAACCATTTCGGAAAAATAGTT